TCTTCTGAGGGAAAAGCCACCTGTGCTGCTCAGGCCCTCCTCCATGGGCTCCCCGGGGGTGTCGGAGTCGCTGTCCCCCCCCTCGGCGCCATCGTCCAGCCCGCCGTCGAAGCACAGCGTCCCCCCCAGCCGCTCGGCCACGCTCTCCTCCTCCTCCTCCAGCTCCGCCTCCCAGCGGTCCAGGTCCGGCTGCTCCTGCTGGGGCTCCGCCCCCTGACCCTCCTTAAACAGCGAGCGCTTCAGCCGGTCCAGCAGCCGGGACGCCATGGCGCCCGCCGGCCCCGCCGGGGGGGGGGGGGGGCCTGGACACAGGGAGACACCAGCGCCGTAAACTCCACGGGGAGCTCAGAGGGAAGCTTCCAGAAGCAGAAGATGACGGGACTTTTGGTATGATCCTGAAACACAAAAATGATTCATTCTGTTGCAGTTTATGAATGCATTTAAAAAATATATGAAATCAATCAGTTATCAAAATAAAGGCCCAAAATGTATATGATGTCTTAAATAATTTCTCCACAGAATTGGATAGATAACATTGAATCTGAGCTCCCCCTTATGAAAGATGTTTATACTAATTTAATTATCTACTCATATATTTAATAGTACTTTCATTGCGTCCACCTTGTTTTTTGTTTTCTTTTAAGACATGTTGCATTATTGTCAGTTTTATGTTCCCTTGTTATTCTCTCTAAAGTTATGGTTAATGTATTGTAACAAGTATTGTAATAAGTTATATCAACTCAATCTAATTTGATTTAATGTGACCTTTTCTTTACATGTGAATAAAAAAAACCCGAATAAAATCAGTTATAAAAAGCTATAAAAAAGTTATATCAACTAATTCTATGTTGTAAAAAGTAATAAAAAGTAATACAAAATGTTGATAAACTAAATCTAAGTTATAAAAAGTTACTAAAAAAAGTTATACCAACACAAACTTATTTCACTTTAATTTTATTAAAGTTTTGTTTGTTTTTTTGTTTTTGCTGATGTGACCTTTTCTTTGCATGTGAATTTAAAAAAATATATAAACTAAATAAATAATATAGACAAAAAAACCCTTATGTCCCCTAAAATAAGGAAACCCTTTTTTTCCAGCCCAGAAATTTGAACAATAAAACAAAAGCGCTCATAAGATGATAAATATTCTGCAGCTCCTAAAGAAAAATAACAAATCTGGGTTTAAATTACGAGCAAACCTAGACAACAGAAATGCTCAGAATGAGTTAAATGAAACCTGGAAAAAAAGTGGGGAAAAAGGAAAAAGATCAGCTTAAAGCAGCTTACTGCTGGCAAAATATGAGAAAATATGGAGAAATCATTCATGATTCCTCTAAAAATGTTTTTTTCCCACCTTTCTCCTCAGATATCAAGTTTCAAGCTCAGTGAGTTTGAATTTCTCTGTTATTATTTATTTATTGCGTTTTAAAATTCTCCTACAATTTTGCATTGGTCACTTTAAACAATTGTTCACTACTTTAGCTTAATGTATTTTCAAGTGATGGACCACAATTTCCCCTAAGGACAAATAAAGCTTTTTGAATCAAGTTTTGAATCGAGTTGGAGCATCTTGTCTTAATCAAACTGAAACAGGAGAAAAGGTCCTCTCGGAGCCGTCCGGATGGAAAGAGGCTGAACTGAGCTGTGGGTTCTGAAT